TTACAGTAATGGAAGAGGAGAGCAGAATAGCAGGTAGGACCTAGTTTACAGTATAGAGTATTTACATGGCAAAGAGCATTGAATTACAGTCTTGAAATCACAACACAACACAAGGCAGTCAGATTAATGAGTATGCATAAAATCACAGATTTCACCATGTTCTAGGTAACACTACACCTTATGTTAGTTTGTTTACTAGAGAAGACATTTAGGGCCAAAGTCTGAGGTTAGTTTCAGAAACCGCCACACCAATAGAATAAGAAATTCACTTGCAGTTAGTTGAAATGCTGTTGTGCAGCTTTTTGTTAAAAAATGGGTCCTGGTTTGCTGGGCTGTTTCTCTCCTGCCCCATTACCTGGGGTTTCTTTTCATTGCTACATCCGACCAGCAGAGGGCAGTATGCCACCTTTACTATGTCCTGCAGCATTGCAGATGGAATTTTCTGGCTGTGTGAGGAGGATCTCTAAGAGAGGCTAATTTCCAAATGTTCTGTAGTCACTTAACTATTTTCCTGCGCCCTTGTTAAACATTGCTTTTCCTGTAATAACCTTTTCCAGGGTATGAAATTGTGACCTTATTAGATTTGCATGGCGTGCATAATTGTACGTAACTTAACTCTCCCCTGGTGGTTCTCCTTCCACTAGAGTGGGACTAAGGTGAAAGGTCAGAGGTCAAAGGTGTCGTCTCGATACAGGAGGTGATGGCTTAGGGATTGTCCTGTATCAGATGCCTCAACTCTTTGATGCTACATGGTGCATCGAGGCTGTATATGGGGACCCATTAGGGCAGGGCTGTTCAAATCACGGTCCTCAAGGGCTGAACACTGCTGATTTCCCAGCCTTCCTTTACCTGTGAGCCGGGTGTGAATCCTCTGGCCAATCAGAATCAATAATCAAAAACTGCCTGGGAGAACTGAAAACAAGGCCTGGATTTGGAATCCAGGGCCAGATTTGAAGAGTCCTGCATTAGAGGGTTGGGATTCAATTTCTGCTGATGGGGTTCTGGGGGGGGGCAGGGGGGGAACCTATCTGTTCCATCAGTTCAGGTCTTAATTTCAGCATATTTGAGCATAGATACAATGGGTGTTGCGTACAGAAACCCTCCATCTTGTATATTACGTAGTTCTGACTCCTTAGGCTGGCTGAAGGCTTCTCCCTGTACGCCCCTCTGTATTCACACTTAAGTTAGAAGCTTCTTGTATGTTTTCCTCTATTTGACTTCATAATAGGCTGCTGGAGTGTTTGCAGCCACAGCTCTGTTCGCTTGGCAGTTGAGGATACATTGCCTTCCAAACCAAATGTTTGGCTGTATGCTTTGTCGGATCTCTGTGTCTGTGATTTGTGTGTCTGTCTGTCTGTCTGTCCGTGTGTCTGTGGTTGTGCGTGTGTGCATGCATGTGTTTTTCTGTGTTTGTTTGTTTGAGTATGTATATATTATGTTGTGGGGGCTAAATGTCCTATACACCGTGATTAAAGACCTGTTATTTTGATCAGTCTGGTCTCCACAAGGAGAAACTCAATTTTATTAAAATCACAAAAACTAAAATTGTCAAAAGTCTTGTATTTATTTTTTTGGTTACTTACAGTTAGGGTTAAAGTAGAGTCATAGCTGCAGTTAGCTTATGCCCCTAGAAATGGGGGGGCGGTCCCCACAAAGATATGTGTGTATGTGTGTGTGGGCGCCTGCTTATGACTGTTACATTCTCAGTCAGATTTTCTATTATCTATGTACCAAGTGTGACTTTTTTGGCTTCTCAAAACCTAGTTATTAATCATAATAATGTTATGCCACATGAACGTGTGAATATTGTGACCCACATACGTCTACAAATGCCGCTGAGCGTCTCTAAGCCGTGGATTTCTCCGGCGCTGTTTCCGCAGCCCGGAGGATCGTATTTTAAAAGTCGTAAGTTTCGAACGTGAAGCCGGGTGGCCTTTTCATTGGATAATTACAATTTATTTATTTCGCAGGTGTTTTTCTCCAAAGTGACCCACGTTTTTGAGAAAACGGGGTCCGACATTCCTTGGAGATATTGGGGGCCAGGGGCTTTTCCCACTGCCAATACTGAGACTTGACCCTTCCTATCACAGGCGGGGGCCACCCACCGCCCCTCCCCATAAAAGGCTCTCCTGTCACGTTGTACTAGAAATGTGTCTCCCATCAGTTCCTGTGAGTCTCAGTAAGTAAGTTATATGTCCGGTTCCTAATTGCTCTGTTCTGGCTGTTTAGCTAGTTTTTGCTCCTGCTGGATTTGTTGGTTTATGTGTATGATCTGCAGAGCAGAAATTAGGGTGGAAGCCAATTGCCTTTATGGAAGGCGGAGTCTGTCCATGCCGAGAGGTTCCCTGCCATCCATTGCCCTTCCATCCGTTGCCCTGTCTGTCTTTCTGCTGTGATCCCACCCCTCTCCTGCCCTGTCGGTGGTATTGCTGAGGGTGAAACGATTCTCCTGACCTGAATGCATCACTCTTGCCTCCTACTTTCAAAAACCATTTAGGGTTTCCTTCTAATCTGTGGCCTGCCATTGTGTGAATCAGACTCAGAGATTAGTGGTCACCTGTACAGGAGTAAACAGGAAGGAACTGCAAGTTCTTGTCATATAACTCATAGACAGGACACCTTGTTCAAATCGAATCCCGACCACATCTAGAACCACGATGCAGCTCATGAGAGTTGTACTTGCACAAAAATGTTCTAAGGGCAGAATGAAAAATGATTGGTTCAGAGAGGTGGCAGACCAACCAATCAGATGTCTTGGTCCCATCCCCTCTAGCTTCTTGGACCCACCTCTTCTATAATCTGATTGGTTATCTCTCTGTACCAATCATTTTTTGTTCTGCCCTCAGAACATTTTTGTGTAAAACTCCCAGGACCTGAGCTGCACCAGGTTAAGTAAAAGCACTGAGGCATCTGATCTAGGACGGCACTTTTACTAAAACTTAAGAAACTTTTGCCATGAATTTAACTGCATTTTAGCATACAAATAAGCTGTAAATATGGTCCTAAACTGACACACTAGGTGTTATATTGCACAGCCTAATTACGTTCTTGAGTTGTTGTGGCAACATTAGGTTTGTTTACTGTTTGTCCTCTTGAAATTGCTTGCAGCTACCAGCTTTACTACTAATTATGAATAAATTCTTTATATCTCTGAATCTATCTTGCTATTTTAAATTCTTTATTGACTCTTGAAATCACTTTAATAGGGAAATATATACACTTATGGGTTAAAAATCATCCAGTTCTTGGTTAGAGGCTCATACAGAGTAATGATGATGGTGGGTAGAGCCCAGCACTGCCAGTTAGTGACACATCCAGCTTAGGCACTGGGGAATCTGTTTAGATGCCAGATAGCTGCAGTGATTCAAACTCTGGTGCTGGACACAGACCTGGGACTCTGAGAAGCCGCTGGAATAGCAGCACTTTTCCTCACATGCAGCCGTCTGCTGTAGCCTCACTGTACCCTCCCTCAAACAGCTGGACGTTGCTCGACCTCATTTTGAACTAGTCGCAGATGTCCTCCGCTTTCAGTGTCTGGACCAGGTGGTCTGCAGTGTGCAGTATACAGTGTACAGCTGTTCGTGCACTTCAGTGAAGTCAAACTATGAGCCATATTTTTTTTTTTACGCAAAATACACAACTAGCTTGTAAGAGTGTGAGAGTTCTGGGCATGGGAACAACTTTGGGGGGGGGGGGGGGGGGGGTAATGTCGGCACGGGATGCCCAGCATGTTCCAATTACCCAGGCTTTGAAGGCTGGAATGTCCACACAGCTGCCAGCTCCATACCGTGATGGGTCCTTGTAAACTTTGATCAACCGGACCATCGCTGAGCAGAGCTAACGAACTTCCGAGCGTGACCGGCAGTTCTGATGTGCCCCCCCCCCCAAAAAAAATGCACACACACACCCTGCTTATCTACGCCTCTCATCCCAACCTTCATTCAGTCATTCAGTTCAATCGAATTTATGCCTATATAGCACAGAGTCACCCCAGTGTGCTTTACATGGGTGTCTTGAAGTACATTACTACATCATTTATACAGATAAATACATCAAGCGGGGAAAAAGGCAAGACAGAAAGAAAGAGTAAAAGAACATCTGAAAGAAGGATAGCCGGGTGACCTCTTTAGTGTGAGGTGAGTTTCTGTTCTGCGCTTGGCGTTGATTCAGCGCTCATGGCCGCCGTCGCTCACCTTTGGGTGGTCTCCCCTCCTGTGGATCAGCCGGGCATTTCCAGACCCGGGTGCCAGAATCAGAACCAGCAGCAGGGTCAGTGTAGCGCAGCCCTGCATGGTGTGCTGTCCTCCTTCCGTGCTCCTTGAGTCGGTCCTCCTAAGCTCTGTTCCACCTTTAACCGCTGTCCTTATCACTGTTCTCTTTCTGTCAGTCAGCCACAGTCCTGGTTCTGAGTACTGTTCTGGGGTTCTTCGTTTTCAGGCACTTAAAGAACTATTATTTCAGTATTATTACTCTTAGGGGATTGGAAAAAAAACTTCAGGGAAGGTAGCGGAGAAAATGGAGGAAGACGAACAGCAGATTGCACATCAGGTAGTCTGTGTGAGGAGGGAACTCCTGTAGTTAGCACGTAGACCACATGTCCATCACTGCTGGAGAGTGAGGAGCAGAACTGGGGGCTGAGGGAGGGAGGTGTTGGGGAGGAGGGGGGGTTCTCAGATCTGGAGACTCGTAGCTCCTCCTCCCAGGACTCACATCTGGTGCTTCGTGTTTAAACTGTCAGAGAGAGAAAGAGAAGGACTGCGGGGACAACTGGGTTGTGGGAGGGAAATGAAGTGACCGTGTGGTGCATCTGTGTTTGTCTACATTAGAGTGAGAGGGAGTGAGTGTGTGTGTGCGTGTCTATGTTAGAGTGAGAGGGAGTGTGTGTGTGCGTGTGCATGTGTATGTGTCTACATTAGAGTGAGAGGGAGTGAGTGTGTGTGTGCGTGTCTACATTAGAGTGAGAGGGAGTGTGTGTGTGTGTATCTACGTTAGAGTGAGAGGGAGTGTGTGTGTGCGTGTGCATGTGTCTACATTAGAGTGAGAGGGAGTGTGTGTGTGTGTATCTACATTAGAGTGAGAGGGAGTGTGTGTGTGTGTATTAAGTTTATTTTGACGTTGTGGAGACCATTTTTCAGGTCAAAAATCCGTGAATGCAATCAAAAAGTAAAAATGGCAAAAGTCTTATATTTTGTTTGGTTACTTGCAGTTAAGGACAGTGCTGGGTGGGGGTCGTCATGTTGAGATTAGAGCTTTATCCATAGAAATGAATGGAGAGTCCCCACAAAGATGCAGGTATAATTACAAACCTATAATAAATAATAATAATTATAATCAAGTTGCCATAACCAAGCTGCCTGTTGCCACTGTGCTGTAGATCTTAAGCAGCAAATCTAGCTTCTCCTCAGGCTTTGGATCTCCTTTGAAGCTTTGAGATCCTTAACCCTCTTTCTACTGAGTGCAGCAGCTGTCGGGGCTGCTCTTCTGCTAGGCTGACTTAGCTGTTCCCATGTGGGCTGGATCCCCCCCCCCACCACCACCACCTGCCCCCTTTGCTTACAAAGCCCTGCTCTTGTGCTTCCTGGGTCCTTGTAAATCTATCAGAGGAGGTCCTTTACTAGTGCTGGTTGTAGACTTTTCCTGATCCACTGAGATCATCTAGGTGCATTTTTTGTATAATATATATGCATTATAATTCCTGTTTTCTTTTCCATTAGATTGTGTTGCTAACTAATTTATTGTGTGTCATTTACTATCAGTATAACTAATAAAATAGCCATTGCTCAGCAAATTAAGTCAGGGAATTCCTGTGCTTTGATTAAAATTCCAAACTGAGAGACTACAATTTAAAAATTCTATAGCACAGTTGCTGCACACTTCCAAGGATATGGGTTCAGTTCCCACATCTGCCGTGTGTGTGTGTGTTTCCTCCTGCAGTACAAAAGCACGCAGTCAGGTAAGTTTGGTGCTGTGTCTGCGCCCCGTGACGGATCCCGAGGGTGTTTGGAGTAATGAATGGTTATGAAATAAGGAAGCATAGAGACAGTACATAAAGGCTGAGATGATGTTCTACCTATTGCCAGCGTTGTTCCGTTTGATCGCTAAATTGAATCAAGCCATTACATCTTGATTGCTTAACTGTATTGGAAAGAGAGACATTAATAGAAACTAATGAGGCGACGTGGGGTGTGGGGGGGGGGGGGGGGGTAATTGCTCCTGGGTAAATTGTGCCTCCCTTTTGTCCAAGCCAGCTCAGTACAAAAGGGGGTGGTATCATATACCTGTAATGACTATGGACAGAGCCATTACCTCGCATGACCTTAAATCACTGCACCGTTTGTTTTCTTGGCTACGTCCCCCACAGACGAGTCGCTGTTGTCCTCTAATTACAGTGTACAAGCCCGAGATCCCAAGCAGCCGTTTGCAGTGGCACTGGGCCGCCTTGCACAGCTTGCGAGAATTAGGGCCTGTAACCATACATTAAGGGAGGCCATTCAGATAGCCGTTTTTACCCGCAGTGAAACTCACCTGACAGCGTGTTGGGGAGTATGGGGGTGCTCTTGCCTGGGGGGGAAAGTTAGGACATTTTTCAGGGGCCCTAATGTTGTCGCATAACTGGATTGATCTGGGTAGGGGGCCCAATATGATATGCTTTTATGGACCCCCCCCGGCTCTCTGCGTAGACCAGGCTTGACAGCTGCCTGCTGAAGCAGAAGGAATCTCCACTGCATTGTTGTGAGCTGGAGAGACCCTTATTTTGCATGTTTTCCCAATATTGTGTTTATAAAGGCAGGGGGCGTCTAAATGAATGACAGGCCACAGCATAGCAGGAGGGTAGGGCAGCGTACATGAGGGTGTCCCAGTGGGCAACTGAATTGAGTATCTGTGACTGTGACTCTTTATGCTCAACTGGTTGGTTGAAACAAAATCCTGGTCTGGACTTTAACTGTCTGGACCTGAATTACCCAACTCTGGATGTCATCAGGTTCACAACGTGCTGTTTTATTGGTAGAGCCCTAAATGGAATCTTAAAAATATGAGTCAGTGATTTTTTTTGGGTGTTGATAAAAGCCATTTCTTATACTAAGGCGTTTCGAGCCACCAATGGTGCAGTTTCAACTGTTTTTATGGTGTAATTGAAATTATTGACTAAGAAAGGTGAATGATGATGTAACAGGAAATTGTGAAAATATAAGAAAGAAAAATGAACAAGAAAAACAGAAAAGTATGACTGCTGTTAGATGGGTAGAGTATGGAAGAAGTATGAAGCATTTGTAAGAGGAGGCGAAGGGCAGGCAGAGTTGGTCTGGCAGCCACTGTGAGACTTGGCACAGACTACGTGTTGTTTTCTGAAACTTTTGAATCTGAACCACTGAAGCTGGAAAACGTTCCATCTGGATTTTCTCACTCGACTCTCTCGTTTGTCTTTAGACTGAGTATTACCAGGACGCCCCATTCTCTTCATTCGGTTCATTTTATAGAATGCCGTTCCTATGGTTACCTCAGAGTGGTTTACATATAGATATATATCTAGACGTACAACATGCTGTGTGAGCAAAAAAATGCCAGAAGTCAGGGATGGAGAGGAACAAAGACTGCCTTAGGCAGGACTATTGGGGGGGGGGAATCTCTGGGGGTCCAATCTGAACCGGCTGTCCACTCCACCAGCACATGCCAACTGCACAAGCTCAATTAGATACTCAGATATCAGCAGATAAGTTCGGTGATATTCAGCTGGTCTGGTTCTGATCCAACATGATGTTCTGGTTATACTCAGCAAAGGTCTATACATGAGAGAGACAGACTTGCTCTGGAAGATATACCCAGTTCAAGAAGTCTGGCATTAGAATTAAGAAATTAGAAAAGATTCGCACAATAACTTTGTGTTGGCGTGTAAGATGTTTGTTTTGTTTTCTACAGCAGATGCTATGATTGCAGTAACTGCCATCTTTAACTTTAAGGATGGCATGTTTGGCTCTGTGGCTGAGGATTAGGTACCCATGATTTGAATGTTGTTGGTTTCAATCCCCTGTCAGGAAGTGTGACGTTACTGTTGAGCCCTCATGATATGAGGCTCAGTAGATTCTTTCCCCCAGCTCCTGTAGAGCAGTGCTTCCCAATGTGGTCCTTGGGGACCTCCAGACGGTCCATGTTTTTGCTCCCTGCTAGACAGTTCACATTTTTGCTCCCTCCCAGCTTCCTACTGTAGCTCTCAGCAAAAAGGTGGACTGTCTGGAGATTCCCAAGGAACAGATTGAGAAAATGTGTCGAGTCTCTATATCACTGTCTTCTTCTGCCAAAGAGGAGGAGACCCTGAGTCTCTGCTGAGGTGGCAGTTGCGTCTGTGAGCTGTTTCAATAGTGAGATGAAAGGTGAGGTGAAATGGGCTTTGATCTCATTGTGGGGATAAATTGGAAATCTTCAGGCTAAGGAATTCGGGGTAATAATTCAAGGTGGTCACTGTGGAATGATCCAACTGGGCCGGCATTCTGAAAATGGGAGCAGGTCTAACTTGCTGATTTGCTAAACCCTGACATATAATCAATTACATATGTGCCACCTGTTGAGCAGAATGATAGATGTTTTATTGATCTGTTTTTCTTTCCTATAATCTTTAAACCCCCCCTATTTTCCATTTCTGTATTTCTTGTTCTGGCACCTTGACTTTCTACCCTAAGATCTTAAGATCCTTCACCTGTCACTCGGCCGATTCCCCTGATTGTGCTTCACTCCCCACATCTAGTCCTCCAGCCTCTTTCTCACAGGTTCTCTCAAGTGAATCTTTGCTCTTATCCTCCTTCAGTCCCTCCTCAATCCCTCATGAAGTCAAGAGACTTTAATCTCAGGTAGATGCACTGAATTCCACAGCGTGACCCCTGAGTCAAGGTCAAACAGAAAACATTTAACCATTCTGTTACCACAGCAACCGTTAGGTCAACGTTAAGACCCACCCCCCTTAAAGCTTGATGTGATTGGAAGCAAGGAGCAATGGAGATATTGACCTATGGTCAATCGACTCATTAAGTTTAAATTCCTCAAAGAAATCTGTCTAACTGCATTAACTTCCAGAAACTGATCTGGTTTACATGCCCCAGCTAATTTGGGCAAAAATCTCCATCTGATCTTTCTGCACAGGAAACTTTAGGTACTTGAAGTTTGCTCCCGTAAGTCTTTGTGGATGAAAGTACATGTAATTTCCTGTCCACTGGATTTAAGCGTTTATGTCCAAAGAGAATTCATGGGAATCCATGCCAAGAGTACAGGAAGAGAAGCAGCTCATAAATCTAACTAGAAGCTCAAAAAACTGAAAACAACTCCTTCATAATTCAGACTGGAGAGGAGTGGGATTTGTTAAATATCCCAGATCAACTCTTGTGGGATTCTTACTACTGGGTCTGGAACATTTTACACTATGGTAGGGGGGATAATGGTGGAATCCTGGAAAAAAAAAACATAGGTGTTTTACCTTTGTTGTTACATATGCTGCTCTGCATATTTAAGAACATAAACATGTATGTACACCAACATCAGGGATTAAACAGCAAGGTAGCCTAACTTTTAGGAAGCTAAAAAGGGTTTGACAGGCAGAGTTCGAAAGAGCACAGAGGGTGTTTTTTTTAGAGGCAACAGCCCTTTTATAACAGGATGGGTGCCCTGGTTCCGTGAGACGGAAATGTGGGGGCAATTAGTGCTGCTTCATCTTGGAAATTTCTCCTAATCAGATAGTAGGTGGGCTCTTCCCATGGAGAGCCGAGATCTCTGTTCCCATAGATGAGCTCTGTGCAGGCGCGAGGACACCATTAAAGCCTGTTTATACATACGACAGACAGCTATGTGTGTATGTGTCATGACGGAGCGATTTGCACTGCTGCCTGTTTATGTGTTATATATACATGGGAACGTACGTGTTTGCAGTATACGTTCAAGTTTGTTGGGAAAGTCCATTAACAGTGAATTCACTGTGAAATGTCTCAATCCTGTACAATCAACATGTACATCAACAGGAAGAGGGCTGAGAGATAAAAAGGCACAAAAAAACTCCCTAAACAGTTCCTGGCATAAACCAGTAAAACTTTTATCGGGCGGATGGGGGTGCATTAATCGCTCTTCTCGGGACTGGAGTCCCCAGTGTGACTTTGTTTACATCACAGTTTACGCTAACAGTTTGCTGTAATTCACAGTCTGTCGCATTGTCTTGGAAGTCGATCTGCCTGGAGACGTGCGTTTGTGTTGTTTCACTCCTGGGATGTTTGTAGTGGCTCTTCCCTTGAATGAAAGGTCTTTATCTTGGGTCTTTGTATCAGATATAAATATTGGATTATAGAGAGCATCCTAATGTTACTTCACACTCTCCATAATCAAATATATAGAAAAGCTTTTATTTCAAAGTTATTTGATGTATGGAAACAGTCTTAACAAAGACCTATTTGGTAGAATTATTGTTAATTTATGAAACCAAAAAAAAGATTTCTTCAACAAAATAACGGCTTTCCAAGCATTATTTCCAATTCCTTAAGGGTCAACTGAGGACAAATTTAAGTCCATCCGCTATAACAATTTTACAGTATTATGAAGTAATTCTTTAGAATGTTGACTGACGGGTGCTTCTAGGAGCTATTGTCATTTCAGCATGAAACTGGCAGTACACAGTAGGTTTTTTTTAAATTTGTCTGGATGCCAAGTATTTGGACCGCAGAGAGAAGCCTTTTACACGATGGCGGTTCATGCTCTGAAAATGAGCCACACCTTCCGATCTCCGGACCCCGTACTTTGTGCCAGCGGTCAAAATTATTGTGATTTTTTTTCTTTAAAAAGTACTTTCAAAAGCAAATAGGCACTGTCTCTGAAGTCTGATATGTGTTATTTTACTTGTCCTGTCAAGTAATACAGGAAATATGAGAGGCTGTCCACTTCCTTTCTCATCTTTCTCTTTCCTCTGGTTCCTTTTAAGGCCCAACATAAAGGATTCGCTGTAAGTGTAACATTCTTCTGTGTTGCGTTGACCAGCTGCCAGCCAGGAATTCTTTCTCCATTGCGGTCAGTTATGTGCTGTAGTTACTAGTCATGATTTTCCTGCATGTTCCTGTATGTGAGCAGGTTTTGCTGCCTTGGCCTATGATAAAAGACTAAAATGGCAAATGCCAAACAAACACATCTAATACTGCCAATGCATTTTCTTGGGTATGAACTTTCCTGCTGTTCAGTTCTGTTGGAGTGAGGGTTCTACCTTTGTTACTCTTCCATTAACTCATTTTAAATACTTTTGATCACTTCCTGGCTTCACTGCTTCCTGGAAACACTCTGCTTTCATATGCATATCAGACCTCACCTTTTCTAGTCAAGGCAAATAAACGCAAATCCTTAAAATACAGAAATACAGGCAGTATTTCTGCCTGTACAAATCCTGACAGTTTTCCAAACACTCCCAGGGACTCTTTCAGCAGTGAATCTTGACTGACTATTAGTCTTCCTGAGGTCTGATGCTCTGCTCTGTGATGCATCGTTCAGGACAGCAGCCAGGAGCTGCTAGGCTCTGAAACGTGCGGTGTGCGGAATCGTAGCTCTCGGTTAAGCAGCGACAGGTGTGCCCTCTTTGTCAGGCTTTGATGTGGACCCAAGTCTTCTGCTCAACAGGAAATGGGTGGAGATGTTGAGGGACATGACTGCCTCCAGGAATCCCATCCTATAAGTGCTCATTTTGTGAATTTAGATATTCCTGGTAACATGTACTCCGCTTCATCATTAGACCATGGCTTTAAATGATTCACATTCACTGTATAGCATATTAATACATATTTATTCTGAGTCTTATTCACATGCGCAGCACATTTTGTGGTGTGGTGGTATTCCTTTACTGGGGACTATGGTCACATTACAGCGAAACAGCGGATTTCAGATGAACTACAAAGTGCGGTTTAACAAACCACAGTGGGACAAAAAACAAGCTCAGCAAAAGACTAAACCAATTTTATAGTGTAGCAACACAGTTCACGATAGCCCAGTGGAGGTGATGTGGTCACTTTATGTGTTCTTTCTGATGTGTGTAAATAGATGGGTTAAATTTCACTTGTGGTTTCCCTCTTGGGAGCTACAGTTCTGTGTTTTCCTAGACAGAGATGGCTAAAGGTTTTACAGTTACATTTTTCTTTGGGAAGGAACTCAATGTTTGACAAAGAGGCAGTGGGCTGCCATTGGCCGGGGTTCTCTGGGCCGGGTCGGCTTTTGGCAGACTCCGTTTGTGGTCTCTGTCATGTCAGTAAGCCCAGAATTACCACCCGTTACACGTCTCCAGCTGGTGTGTCTCTCTGGGTGACTGCGTCTGGCACAGCTCTTCTTAGGCAACCCATTTTAGTTTATGTGAGTATTTATTTAAAAAAAAAATTATTCACTGCACTGCTGTTTCAATTTTTATTGCCATATGTGTTTAGAGGAACATGGTGCAATTCTTATATCAGAGTAGCAGGATAGGAGTTTGGTGCATCAGGGGATAGGAGAGAGGCAGTAGTGCAGGACAATCATACCTGCTTTGGCACCTGAACCTTTTTGCAAACTGAACCTCTCACATGGTAGGGGAGAATTCTACTGCTGAACCATCAATGCTATAGTCATGGTTTTTAATAAGATCTTATAAGAAGTTATTTCTTGAATTTAAACCACTTTTGATGTCATTCAAACAGACATTTAAAAGCATCAGACAACAATTCAGAAAACACAATACTCTATATTACATTAGATTTTCATTTGTTGACATACTCATCGCATACACACAGAGTTGAAGATCATTTTCTTGGGCTTGAATATTCAGATGTTTGTGCCACCAGGACTGAGCTGAGCTGAAATATGAGAACTAATTTATGCAGGATGGGGCTCAAACAAAATCAATTTTCACATGCTGGGGGGCAAACACTTCAGTCACCATGCTTTACATAAAGGGAGTTTTCTCCAGCATCGATGCATACATTTCACTTTGGCACCATAATGTGCCAGTATGTGTATACAGCTGCTGAAAATTTAAGAGACCACTCTATATTTTTAAACAAATCTGCATTTTTAAATTCCAGTTTAATTGTAGTTCTGCTAGCAGAGGCTACGGTGAATAGCAGGCTGCTTCCAGGCTCAAAATTTCTAAGAGAGCAGTACACAAGAACAAGGTGAAACAGGAGACACTGGGAACAGCCAGAACCCACCCAGGTAGATGGTGGAAGTGACTTTCTAATGCCGGACGTTGACCGTGAAGTTATCCAACAGTTTCTCATGAATTGAAGGATGACATCAAGTATATATATATAATTCACAGACGCACACTCATAAATTGAGAGATGAATGAAACAAAAAATTGTGCTGTGGTCTCTTAATTTTTTCCGTAGCTGTGTATGTATGTGCATATGTGTATTTGTACATAAATACTTATATATATAATATTTTGTGTTTAGGAATCTTATGTACGTGAATTATATATGACCTTCCAGCATGGGACAAATAATATGTCTGTTTGCTATTACTGTGAACTACTATGAAGCGCTTTGAGTTGGTTCGTCAGCTCACTCACCTAAGAGTAACCCAGCGGTGGGGTAGAGCTGGATAAGATTCTGGCAAACAGAACTGGCTGTCGTCCCCACCCCAACCACGACGACCCCGGGCAGCACCATGGCGCTGTGTTGGAACAGTGTGCTCAGCGCTGCCCCTACAGGAGCTGGGTGGGACAACAGATAGACACAGGAGAGAGGCCTGTGAGCCTGGAGCAAAGTAGTAGAGTTGGAGTAAGAAAGTAAGTGATTCTGTGAGTGACAACAGATTCTGTGAATGAAGAATTAGAATATTCATCCTCATAGCGGGGGGGTGGTTGGCTTTTCACGTAACCTGTTGCCCTTCGTGAGACACATATGTACAGGTGAGAGCAAGCTGGGGGGGGGGGTGTCACAGTGTAGGGTCAGCCAGCGTGCGACTTCCCTGGCACAGCTGAGAGTTACGTGGCATCAGTCTTTCAGCACTAAGTTTTAAACTGGTACCCATCTGATCAGAGGCAGTATTCTTAATCCGCTAAGCCACACACCACAGCCACCAATTCAATCAGAGTCAAGGTTAGTGGGCAAAGACTTATTCTATATTTTTCTTTGCCTTTGCCTCTTACAGACAAGCAATGAAACCTGTCTAACTGCTACTTAATGGGTGGGTTCAGGCTGTGCTTTGAGAGAGAACAGGATCCTACCACAATGAGATGTATCTTTGCATTTAACCCATATGTGACATAGCAGGGGGCAGCTAATTCAGCACCCGGGGAGCAGTGCTTGGGGGCGGTACCTTGCTCAGGGTACCTCAGTGGTGCCTTGCTGGTCACAGATTCAAACCAGCAATCTTTCAATTACAACTGCATTTCCCTAACCATTAAGCCACCACTGCACACTCTACAGATGTAAACCTTAACGTTAATAGCGAATAGTGAGCACCATCTAGTGGGACACTGTTGTGATCTTGTTGTAATCTTTTACTTATCCCCGAATCCTGGTGCTAATCTCAGCACTGATCATTCAGCCAGTCACCGAAAGCTAGCATGAAGGAAATCAGACTAGTGAACCAAAACATAGTTTTGCAGGTAAATCCAATTAGTGCTGCTGTAGCAATGAAATTTAGGTAAATCTTACCTTAATTATGTTAAGTTACTAACAAGCGGGGATGGACATAGATACATCAAAATCTATTTTGACACGGAATACCCTAATTGTAAGTGTATAAAAAAAAAACGATGACATACAGCAGCCATGGCATGTATAACAATCAAATACTGTATTTTTGTATTTCAAAAATATTTTTTGAAGGGAGCATGAAATAACTTTCAAACCTTCTGTCTATCAGCGTATTTGATCTATCACTTCACCAGTACACTGCCTCAGTTGAATATGTGGACAGTGTTTGAGAGCTGGAAGCAGCCTTCCTAGTAGAGTATCCTTCTGCCAGCAGAACCAGGATTAAACCAGGATTTAAAAATGCAGATTTGGTCTCACTTTATTCCAGAGCTGTATGTTAGGAGTGGTTCTTAAGTTATGAAGAGAAACAATTTTTCAGCTGAATTGAATTGACTTGCCTGCTATGTTATTTGCTTTGTCTGAGTAGTTATTTGCTTTGTCTGATTAGGCGCCATTTAGAAGCTGCATGCCTCATTTAGCCTTTTTAATCACGTAGATGTCTCACAGTAAGTATTTTACAATATCTATGAACTACAAAAATACAAGATGCTAATGTATTTTGATACTAAATATGAAGGCATTTTCATCAATTGATACATTGTTCTCAGTCTGAACTGATTTCTTGCTTAAAAAAAGGCATTTAAGCATCACGTGACACTGCTTTACATCTTAATTCCAGGCTGTAGAAATTCAACCCACTTGTGTAATTTTGTGCATGTGACTGACCTTCCAATTCTGATGTTCAGGGTAGAAATATAGTCACTCTGACAGACTCAGGGCCCGTTGTCGCCACCTGTTGGTAAGTTTCTATAGAGGAATTCTGGAGGTTTGGTCCATTGGCCCACTGTGTACTCCCTGAGCTATCAATCGCTTCATGCAGCAGTGTCGGTGAGCAGTCTGATAACTGCCATTCTCTTCACCCTGTGCTGTATTTTCAGTGAATCATGTGCCTTGATAAATGCAGCCCCAGTACATTCCTGATGTCTAAACTGAATTATTCCTTTAGATGAATCCAATCGTTCCTTTATATTGACAGTTTGAGGAGCAGATGCTTGCAGTCAATGTAACCTACATTGTTTATTATGTAACTTTATTCACTCAGGCAGAGAAATCCGTTACCTGGAGCCTATCGGATACTTTGTTCCAAACTTGGACCTGAACCTCGAACCCTTTGCTTCAGCTCCTTAACCACTTTGTGAGTTATAAATATTAACTGTTTTTAGTCTCCGCTCTCTGTTAAAGGCACGCAGGTGGTCATTACCAGCGATATGGACAGTTGCCACGGCAATGGAGGTAATCCAAGATGTCTCTGTTGCTGTGATAGCAAAGGACAGCTTGATGTCTACATAGAAAACCTTGGAGGGTCCTGATAATTTCCAAATGTCAGCCCAAACATGAAAACTGCAGCGACCAGAACAGACCATCTGAACCCCCATTGGCCTTCCTTGGCTGTCCTCTTAATGGGTTAGTCCATTTGGAAACGCAAACCATGGATAGTGTTGGTCGACTACTGTGGACAGCAGTCTCACATCTAATGCCAGCTTTTGCTTTTTACATTCGTCAAATTATTCAAAATGCACGGAGATATTAACATGAACATTTCTTAACACAGAGAATAGGTGGCGATGTCACATTCAGTAAACATAACATTTACATTTTATTTATTTAGCAGGCACTTTTAGTCAAAGTGAGGTACAACTGAGAATGCAGGGTCAGACTGCCGTGGGAGTACTTTGGGGTTAAATGCCTTGCTGGGGGACCCAACGGAAAAATCACTCCGCCAACTCCGGGATTTGAACTGTCCAGACGAAGGACTTCAAAGACACCTGGAAGAAATCAATGCCCATATAAGGAAGAACATGCCTCACATCCCACAGCTGCATCAAGAGGACTCTGCCGCCACAGCCAGATTGGGAAAACTCAGGAATGACGCCTAACAAGATACTTCACCAGTAGCATGATGGAGGCCACTGGCACAAGCCTGTCCCCTGTTCTCGTCCCCAGGGGGACCCAAGGACAACCTCAGGTCCAAGAAGACACATACAGGCAGGGAGAAAAAACATAGACTGGCAGCTACATCCAGCTAAGCTGACCTTCATCATTGGAGCTTCATATCTATCCCAGGTTCCTCACTTCAACTAACAGACCCTACTGATCCACATCTAACCCTAAAAGCAACCCCACCTCTAACCCTAATAGAGACCCTAACACTAATCCTAGCCCTCAGGCTAATCACAAACCTAACGTTATCCCTTGCTCTGACCCTTAAGGCAACCCTAACCAAAACTCTAGAAGTCTAAGATGGCATTAGGATTATGGTTAAAGCTAAGGTTACAATTATGGTTTGACTTCGGTTTATGGTTAAGGCTAAGGTTAGGCTTGATATTCAGGTTAGGTTTAGGGTTAGCTGGCCATCTTTCCAACTACAAGACATCTCCACCTGCCTGTGATGGTGAGGTCTCCCTTCCAGATGCACTGAATCACTTCTATGCATGGTTTGAAGCACAGAATGACACGGCAGTGAGGAAGACCACCCTGCGCCCCATCTCGGGGGATGTGCAGACATATTGGAGATGAGCCACATAAAATCACAGCTGCCCCCTTCACTGGACCCCCTGTAGTTTGCATATCGTCCCAACCACTCAACAGATGATGCCATCACCACTACTCTTCACTTGGCCCTCACCCACCTGGACAAAAAGGACACTGTTTATAGATTTCAGCATTCAACACAATCATTCTTCATCATCTCGTAGGAAAGCTAAGATTAATGGGCCTGAACAGCTCCCCCTGCAACTGGATCCTGAACTTCCTCACTGGGAGACCTCAGTCAGTCAGGATCGGGGGAAACATCCCCAGTACCACCACGCTGAGCACCGTGGCCCCCCCCAGGGCTGTGTGCTCAGCCCTCTGCAGTTCATACTGTTGACCCATGACTGTGCAGCCATGCACAGCTCAAACCACATCACCAAGTTCACTGACGACACAATCGTGGTGGGTCTGATCAGTAGGAACGAAAAGGTGGCGTACAGAGAGGAAGTGCAATGGCTAACAGACTGGTGTGGAGCCAACAACCTGTCTCTGAATGTGGACAAGACAAAGAAGATGGTTGTTGACTTCAGGTGGGCAGGCCATGACCACTCTCCATTGAACATCAACAGATTCCCAGTTGTCCAGAACATCAAGTTCCTCTGTGTTCACATCATGGAGAACCTCATTTGGACCCTCAACACCAGCTCCATCCCCAAGAAAGCCCAGTTGCGTTTCTATTTCCTCCGGAGACTGAGGAGAGCACCTGCACCCCTCCCCCCCAATCCCCACTATATTCCACAGAGGGACTATAGGGAGTACCCCGTGTAGCCGCACCGCGGATCGGTACGGCACTATAGGGAGTACCCCGTGTAGCTGCATCATGGCTCGGTACGGGACTATAGGGAGTACCCCGTGTAGCTGCACCGCGGCCCGGTACGGGACTATAGGGAGTACCCCGTGTAGCCGCACCGCGACTCGGAACGGGACTATAGGGAGTACCCCGTGTAGCCGCATCGCGGCTCGGTACGGGACTAAAGGGAGTACCCCGTGTAGCCGCATCGCGGCTCGGTACGGGACTATAGGGAGTACTCTCCCCTCTGTGGCAGACATTCACACATCACGCTGCATCCACAAAGCCACCAGCATTGTGGACGACCCCACGCACTCCTCCTACATCCTCTTCTCCCCCCTTCCATCTGGCCAAAGGTTCTGTAGCATACGGGCCATCACTGCCAGGATGGGAAACAGTTTCTTCCCTCAGGCCGTCAGACTTCTGAATCAGAACTGAATCATAAACTGTACCCACATACACACAAACACACACACACATACACACACACACTGCATTTTTTGCACACAGCAGTACCTGTCATAATATTGTATTCATTCAAACTAGTACTATTACTGCTCTTGTCGACTGCACTGTATGTTGTCTTGTCCTGTAATGTTGTATTGCTGCCCTTGTGTTTATCTTGCACTCACTCTCTCTTTGCTCTCCTTGCACTCTGTATAGTTCTGTCCTGCCTGCACTTGGGTAGAGTCTCGTGTGGTTTCTCTTTTCGTTCTGTGTTGCACCGTGGTGCTGAAGGAACAACGATTCATTTCACTGTGTTCTGTGTATATGGCTGAAATGACAATAAACCCGCTTGACTTTCAATATTTATTTGAATGTCAATGTTTATGCAAAACTGGGTATGCTGCATGACGTATAGAAATTCTACTGGACATGAGTTGAGCTGTACACATTTATTTAGGAAATAGTTGAAATATAACAAACTTTTTCCATATTGCTCCCCTAAAAATCTGGATGAGATGACGGGTTACGGAGAGACACTATATGAAGAAAATGTATACATCTGTCACAACAGCATTTTCACTGACAACATCATCCACATCTGAAAACTGATCTGTCAGATTTACAGGAAAAGAACAATCACAGACTCTTTTCAAGTCCCGGAAAAAGAAAAAGAAGAAAAAACGTAAATATTCATGCTAATCACCATCAGAATCAGCATGCACAGCTAGAATACTGTTACTCAGACCCTGCTAGACAGAAACACTGGTACACTTACTTAACTTAGCTGTGGGTCTGGTACCCCTGAATATGTAAGTGATGAAGTGTGAATGTTAATGCTTACTTTAAGGTGCCTGTCTTCCTTATTCCCTTTTCACACTCTTCTCCAGTGGCTACTCAGGATGACAGACAAGAAGATCCACATCTCCGTGTGCCAGTTGGCACTGTGAGAAGCCTGCAGGCTGGAGTAGCAGAGTCTGCAGGCTGGAGGAGCTCCGCTGAATGTGAAGGGAGACCCCAGGGCTGCAGTGAGTGATGAGGCCGCATGCAAACCGGTGGCTTATCGGTCTCCGTCCTCAGAAGGTCTTTATAGCTGGTTAGATGTGCAACAATGAGGCAACAAATGAGAGCAATGCTGAAGAATGTGGACAGAGGCGAGGCTGGTCTCCGGTGTTCGTTGTAGTGATGGACACCGCGTAACTCCTTAAAATTTTTAGTTAGTTTTGCTTCATATTTTACTATTTTTGTGTTGACAGAAATTCCTTTAAGGCTAGAGAGCAGCTCAGCGTGAAAGTTAGAAATGTTTATTTTCATGTTCTGTGTTTAGTTGTGTTGTTACAGTATGTATAACATCAGGGCTAGATTAGGTCTGTTTGGTCTTGATGGGTTATTATGTAGCATTCATCTTGTGACAGCATAGCTTACTTCATTAATGCTGTCATATTTAATGTGATAACTCATAATATCAATCATAATAAATGTAGTTATACTCAGTTATCAGCCTCTTACATTGAATCTTACTTACCGGCCCATAATACCTGAATCACATACCTAGGATGACTTTTTATATACTTTTGGCAACTGCATTTCTACTTTTCATAGACACTATTTTGAAAAAGTACTTTTCTTTGAAGTAGTTCTCTGATATCGGCATTTTGGATTTTTAATTCCTTTTGGAAATATTGCCACATCACTGCGAGGACCTTTGTGACAAATTCTCTTGTAAGAAACACTGTGATACATAGAACTTCTGAACATATTGAACGATATGACAAAAAAATAAAAACCAAGGATGAGGGTGGAAGTTTGGAAGTAACCTAAAAATGTAATAAATGCTTCAGTGAGCCCTGCTGTCTGCCAGCGTGATGCCTGTACCATGCAGGGAAGTCGACCGCAGTAAAGTTGCGGTCAGGAAAATACAGCGTAGCAGCAGATGCAGGAGAAATATCAAACACCTCGGAATGGCTCAGGTGTGTCCACAGCTTCTCAGACTCAAATAAGTCCTTGGAGAATCCTCACATCTCCCCAAGGCCAGCCAAAGACACCAGCCAAAGACACCAGACAAAGACACCAGCCAAAGACACCAAAGACACCAGCCAAAAACACCAGACAAAGACACCAGCCAAAGACACCAGCCAAAGACACCAGACAAAGACACCAGCCAAAGACACCAAAGACACCAGCCAAAAACACCAGACAAAGACACCAGCCAAAGACACCAGCCAAAGACACCAGACAAAGACACCAGCCAAAGACACCAGACAAAGACACCATCCAAAGACAACAGCCAAAAACACCAGACAGACACCAGCCA